TAATCAAACCTAGCATTAGTTCAGAGCATCTATGTACCAAGTTTCATCAAAATCCAATGAGTGGTTGTTTAGATATCAGTGGAACAGTCATGGAACCACTAAAAAATAGCTAATTATCATGCAAATTAGGTAATTAATATGCACGGATTTTTACCAAAAATTAATCAAATCTGCGCATATGTTCAGAGCATCTATGTACCAAGTTTCATCAAAATCCAATGAGTGGTTCTTTAGATATCAGTGGAACAGTCATAGAACAGCTAAAAATTAGCTAATTATCATGCAAATTAGGTAATTAACGAGCATGGATTTTTACCAAAACCTAATCAAATCTGCGCATTGGCCCAGAGCATCTATGCACCAAGTTTCATCAAAAACCGATGTATGGTTCTTGAGATAGCAGTGGAACAGTCGGACACACATACACACACACACACACATACACACATACACACATACACACATACACACATACACACACACATACAGACACACTAACTGCAAAGACTCCCATTTTGTGCTTCGCACATGGGAGTCAAAAAATATCAAAATTTTAAGCAGCTTAAAAGGTCTCGCACAATCAACCATTGTACTTTCTTAGAACTGATTGGTCAAGTTACGTCACATGACAACATTTAGCCCCTTTAGAAAAATTAAATATAAAAGGGGTTACAGTCCACAGTTTTCTCATCATTCTGTCGCTCAGTTGATTACATAAGTATGTAAGCTTCTTACATTTAACAAACAATTATCTTTTCAAGTGCAGTTAAATATCAAATCACAAAAAATTAATCTAATAAAAATAACCTGTAACAAAATAATATTAATTTATCAGTCAAGAAAAAACTTTTTGCTAAATGAGAAAAAATGTAGGTGCATTTAGGTAAGCAATTTTTTGAATACGGAAACAAGCATGTGCAAAAGAAAAAATGTACTGACATTTGTCACCATGCAACTTCTTTAAGGCATAAACCATTTTGTGAAGGGTGGGAAGCAAGGTTAGCATGTGTTGGGTTAAAATATTTTGTGCTGTTTAGCTTTAGTTTTTGGTAACCCTGCAAATAAGTATGCTGCGACCCCCCCCCCCCCCCCCAGCACAAAAAGGTTTTACCATTCCCAATTGCGTGTTTGTTTACTTTTTGAAGTTGCATGCATTTTCTGCTGATCAACAAGAAGAAAACATGCATAGAATTTTTAAAATATTCATTTGGAATTTGTTCATTG